GAACATGGCAAGCATCTGTTGGGTGGTACAGGCTGGGGTGTGGTCATGGCCCAACTTTCAGGCAAACCCCTTTATGTGTTTGATGTGGATAAAGAACAATGGTCTTGGTGGAATCCCACCTCCCAAGAGTATCAAGTCTGTGACGGTATGACGGAGGAACAAATCGCCTTACCCACCCTCCAAGACAAGACCGCCATTATCGGCACCCGAGAAGAAGATTCAGTTCTCTATCCTACCCTAGAAGCTTTATTCAAACGTCAATGAACACAAAAACACTTGTTTTAATCTCAATGTATATCAACTACAATAAAATTCATAGCGGACATGACATTATAAATCAAATCGAGTCTCTGCATGACTTTGTCCAGCGTATTGTAGGCACGTTTTCTCCGACCAATCATCACGGGGTACTGACCCACGGTACAATTCTGAAGCTGCTTCTTGAACCGGTCAATGATGAACGCGATCCCCTCATTCATCACCTTGTCCAGATCGGGAGGGACCCGTGCCATCTCCGTCATCATACCAATCTACAAAACCAGACAAAAGTTTTTTTTTAGCGTCCAGGTCATGAAAAAAAGAATACCACTTCAAAACAAATTCACTCACCGACAACCGATGATCGAACATACGGTGGCAATGGTGGCAGCCATTTTTTCGAGGGGTGCGCAACCGCAACACCACTTGATTCCACCACCGACCTTCGCCCAGGTGTTGGGGAAACCCTGTCATGTCGCATTTGGGCAATCCCTTCAACTCTTGGACCACCTTCTTGCGTTTGTCCATGGTGTAAAAACACTCCACCCAAAACATGATCTTGATTTGGATCTCCAGGGGCAACACGCGACCAAACGGTTTATTTCTGGGATCAACAAGTCCACGGCAGTCCATGTTGAAAACAGCGTCAAGCATGGAATGAGGTCTCTCTGCCCTGTTTCCTTTATTCATGGGTTTCTGTGACCAATCGCCTACTCGCGCCAGGACTTGGCATCCACCCTAAAAAGGTGTACCCATGGGGGGCACCCCCTAGAGTCTCCTCTCGTGGTTAAACGCCCCCACATGATCTCTCTCCACCAATCAGCGCCTCCCATCAAGTCTCTAAATCCCGTTGCGCGCTCCGTGTGAGCTCATTCCAGTTTGATCCGTCAAGCTATTCAAGATGGTGAGCTCTTTGCAGTCTATTGTTCTGTACTCCGTGCCGATTGCCGTGTTGTTTGACATGTTAAAGTTGTTGTGCCACCTCCCGATGGGTCACGAATGCCTGCGCGCCATGTTCCGTCGCTGCACCCACGAAGAATTACGGAATTGGGCCAGAACGTTGCCGTGGGATCATCCTGTCGCCCGCAAACTGGATCATGAGGTCCATCGCCGTCGTATGGCTGGTGAGTGTCATCGCTTTTCATTTTTTTTTCGGGTGTGGGTCCCTTTTTTCCTTATACCTTTTTTGAATTTTTTCATAGAGGTATTCAAGGGATTCGAGTTTCTACGCACCGTGCTGTGGCCTGTCCATCTATGTCTTTGCCCTCGACGTGCTAGACTCAATTGGGCCGCGCGGTTCTGGGTACCAACCTGTTCGTGTTAATTTTTTTTATTCGTTAGATTCATGGGAGTACATAGAAAACCAACCTGTCTGCCACATTTACCAATGGCTCGCCCATCCCACCCCTGGTGGAGTGTGTAATCATTGTGAACGGATGATGGATGGATTCAGGTTGGATGACCTGATTGCTCGCCGTAGGGTGGGGTCCCTCACTGAAGATGAGATTGTGAACTATGTGCAGAGTGGGGACCCCAATTATCGGGATTGGGATGATTTTCCGTTACGTATGACGTTTCGTATTAATTCGTTTTTACGGTCCCAGGGTATTGTGGGTGAACCGGATTTGGCGGCCCTGGATTTTTTAGAGGATTAATTTTCATATTAACTATTTTTTTAGGCACGCATTGCCTTCTACGTGATCATTTGCATTGGATTCCGAGTGTGCGCTCTTTACGTTCTAATTTTTTCCGAATTTTGCATCGTTCATTGTAGGCTTTCATTACACGTTAAAAGAATATGGAGACTGGGTACGTCCCGTTCAATTACGATGTCAGTATAGCACTGTCCAATGTGTAATCCAACTTCATGAAACGTTCAGTCACGTTAACAGAGTATGGGGGATGGATACATCCCGTTCAATGTGTAATCAGTCTTCATAAAACGTTTCAGATGTGATTTCTGTGATTGGCCTTTATGGTTTTCAGATGTGATTTCCGCCATAGAAGAATGGGGGTGGATCCTTTCCTTGCAACACCATTACCATATTCATAGTGTTCGACAATTCACTCAGTTTTGTGATGGTACTGCTTTTTAGATACCCGTAGACACCTCAAAAGCGGTCGCTGGTTCCGAGATTGTGTGGCTTTTTTACTTGGACGAGATACCAAAGACATTTATTATTATTGAATTTTTTAGAAACACATAGTCATATCTACAACAGTTGCGTCTTCCAAGACCGCCTTGATTTCTTACTCATGAAGACCGAGTATTAATTTTTTTCGCAGATTCGTATGCTATTCTCAGCACCCACAGGGTTCATGGCACTTCCGCGGCCTGGTGTTTTTGTGGTAGTATCGTGCAATGGTACACTGGAACAGGGGTTTCCCTTCCATATCCGAATCCACTCAAATTACTGTGTTGTCGTTGTTTTTTAAATTTTCGTCGCGTGCGCGATTTAGCCTTTCCCTGTCATTGGTGTGAGTTGATGCAAGGAATGGGCTATCCACCCCGTTTCTGAAAAACCTATTGTTTTTTTGTTTCAGATACTCGTTTTGTCATACGAGCTATTTATATCCCTTGCCTTTTTCAGCCACTGCCCAGATAATAGAGAATCACACCAGATATTACCATGCTTATCTGATGAAGCAGTTATATTTTGTGTGCAAACGCTGTTGGACATATTCACGTCACGTAAACACCCTCCATGAACCCTGTTGGGGATGTCATATTTTAGAAAGCACAGGATGGGATTTTTGAACACCCGGCAGGGGGAGGTCTGCATGGTGGCGCCACCCCTGCTGGATGTTCATTCTCATTTTTTTTCATTTAGATTCTCATCGGATGCTAGATGATGAGATCCTTAAAATCCTTATAGACTTTGTTTCGTCTATCCTCAAAGAAGGACCAACGTACTCCATTCGTTCAAATTATTATTTTTTTCATTAGAATCCCATTGGATCATTGACTTTGCTATGATTTTTCGAGGATGGCCCATCCCTCATCAACTTTCTATCGTTCTTCATTAGATTCTCATTGGCTCATTCAAGATCTTATGATTTTTCGAAGCTGGCCTATCCCTCATAAACTTTGCATTGTCAATCATCAAGGATGGTCTAGTTTTCTCCATTTGTTCAAACTCAGACGTTGATTTTTTTTGTTTCATCAGTATGTCAATGGTTCTTAGATGCTCTTAGAGGGTCCAACAAATTCCATTGGCTCCAACTAAAGCGTTAATTTTTTCGTTTTTATTAGTATGTCATTGGTTCCTGGATGCTCAAACTAAGATATTGATTTTTTATTAGCATGTCACTGGATCCTAGACCATTTTGATTATAATCAAGACTGGATTTTAATAGAATATTATTGTAAACAAACATTTCAAGGGCGTGACATCACTAGGGTGTCACACACGTCCCAATTGTAATCGAGGTCTGTTTTTTATTTTCCAGTCAATCATTGGACCCTAAACCATCGCCTTGTGCGTGCCAATGGTCGGCTGTTTCTCATCCAGTTTGCTTCTTGGATCTAACCATTCCTCTATTTAATTCGTTTCAGTCACTTTGGCCACGATCAAATTCCCTTTCCTCAAACCATGGTCACGCACAGGTTTCAACCACTACATCAAATGGCCTCATCCCAGTCATATGACTTCTTCTGCCATGAAGCAAACACCTTTTTTCGATTTCGTGCATTAATGTAAAAAAAAATGGGCGTGATATCACTAGGGTGTCACACACGTCCCGCTTGTACCCAGGGCTTCACGCGGTTCATTAAAACTATGCCAAGAATGTGAATTCAACTCTTGTGTGTGCGTGTTCTTTATTCCTATGGGGTCACGTGAATTTTATGACCATATATGGGCATTGTGACGTCACCTAAGTCACATGGGTCAAATGCGCGATGCTGATTGGTCGAGAGAAAATTTGCTGCGCTCTGATTGGTTAGTACTTATAGTAGCCCCTATTACTACTATTTTACAGTAACGCATTTTATTGAAGCACTGATGACATGGCTTTTTTGAAACAATGTTGTTAGGGGAAATACTCCCTTACATAAGCTTTATGAGTAAAGGGGTTTAGTTTTTGGTCGCCTTTTGGTTTAAAACAGAAAATAGCACTTCAACCGTTTGGGCTTGATATAGGGCATGGTTTTGTGCTTTTTGTGGAATTGTGTATCCCTTAGTGTCTTTTATCATTCGCCATTTTAGAGACTTGATTTGAAAAAGACCAGGAAAAATCAAATTTTTTGCTCTGAAATATTTGTAAAGAACGGCTTTCCCATCCCCAGCTTCTTGTAGCTTGCAAGTAAGCAAAAACATTCTGGTATAACGAATAACATTCTCAGCCAACAGTTAGAGGCAAATTTCTTGGATAAAATCTACAGTATTAACGTGTCCTTTCATAAAGGTTACACTTCACACTCCCCTGGCAATTTGTTATATCAGGCCGCCATTTTATTTGGGTATCACGGGAATTAGGTCACGTGCAAGCGAGTAGCCAAAGCAAGAGAGAATGATCTAGTTAATTCTCTCTTGCCAAAGCGATTCACAAAATGGGAATAGGTGGGGCTTACAGAAATTCCTTCAAAATGGCTGTGTATTTATGTTCTTCTGTAGTTTGATCGTTTCCGGCGGAAATTGGTTGAACACACATTCCGCGGCGATGTTCAAAGAACGGTTGATCATGAACTGGATGACGATGAATTGCTTGATCACGTGAGGAATCTGGCTCAAGAGAAGTTAACTCTAGTGGAAGAAATCCAGCAGTACGCAAACTCAGAAAGTGAAGTGAGTTCAGTATTTACTGAAGAGCCTCGTTTGTTTTGAGTGTGAACCTTACCCCGAAGATGACTTTTTCCATTTTTTTTCCCTTTAAAACTGCGAAAAGGAGCCTTCTCACTTCTCCCCTCCTTCAGAAAACGAGAGGGAGTTGTGCGCTTCGTCGCCCACATCCATGGCTTTTTCCCTCAAACGGAACGAGCGTCTCTTTTCCCTACCCCATCTCCCTCCTCCACCCCAACTAATACTCGCGTTATCCGGATAACACTGGGAAGATCAAACATCAAATATTTTTTGTGATTAAGAAGATGGGTTTTTTAAGTAACAGTTCCTTCGTGTGGGAGTTTTATTAGGGGGTGTGGTTAACTGATCTGTGAGCCTTAATTGGACAAAATGTTATCCTTCAGTTAAGAAATGCCGCGTTTTCCTACCGTAGGAAAACGTGACTTAACTCCTACGTTACGTTACGTTACGTTACGTGACGTAACTCCTAATTAGAGGCTGAAATAAAACTGAAAACTGAAGTTCCGCACCCCTCCCCTCCACACCCTTAAATTTGTCAGTCAATAGCGACCCTTCTGCCGCAGCCTTTTTTAATTTCTTAATTCAGTTGATGTTGTCGCTCATGAACGTACGACAGCTAGCTTGCTAAATCTGAATAAATGTGTTAAGAACTGAAAAGGTTTTCTCTTTTGTTAATTATCAGTTTTTTTTAGTCATTTACCCTTTTTCCTTTCTTTGACCATGGTAGAAAGAAGCAAAAGACAAAGACTTAAAAGATTCAACGGGTGAACTGAGGAAACAACTAGAAGGCACGCTGGTGAGTAAATCACAGGACGTCCAACATTAGTCTTCTTAAGGCTGGTTTTCACTAGCGACGGAGTCGTAAGCGGAATCGTAAAAGCGCTTACGACTTGTTGAAAATAAAAAATCGGAGTGGTCAGCAGTCATAAGCGCGATGGAATCGGAGTCGGAAGAAGCAGAACGTTTTCATTTTCTTCTTACTCCGCTTATGACTCCGTCGTTTACGATCAAGTGAAAACCAGATTGTTGAAGTTGGAAGCATAAGCGGAAGGATAAACCAATCACAATACCCGTTCCCACGCTTTGTGATTGGTTTAGTTCTTCCGCTTCAGCTTACGACTCCGACAACCTATTTTTCACTTGATCGTAAGTGTCGGAGTCGTAAGCGGAATCAGAATGCTGTTTTCACCAGATCGTAAAGTTCTTTGCTTCTGATTACGACTCCGACTCCAACTCCGTCGTTATTGAAAACCAGCCTTTATGGTGCACAACATTTCTTAGACTTTCAAAAAAGTCCTTCGTCGGATTTCATATGGCGCGGGACGAAGGACTTTTCAAACTTGATTGGCGCCAATTTCACAGACCCAAAAACGGGTCTGTGCGCATGGACCAATCAGAATAGCTCCCAAGGACCCTTGGGGATAAACCTGTCACTCACATGTACTAAGCGCACTGAAACGTGACTTGCGGTTTGACTCATAAGCTCGTGATAGTGTGATACGTGACGTTATAGTTTTGCTCTCCCAGCGATTTTGCTCTTTTATATGAAATGATGGGAGGCTTGTTGCATATTTCTCTTAGTAGTGGTTGATCTTCAATTAAGTGCCATTTGCTCATTAAAATGTTTTAAGGTTCTGCAAAGAAGGATGGTACGTGGTAACGAGAGGCAGAATTTTTTTTCGCACTTCATTGTTCTTTTGTAAAGCTGACTTCCGTTCGGTAAATTTAACCTCAGAAGTGATTTTTCCTATGAGATTGTGAGGGTAACCTCTAGCGCGAAGGCGTTTTTTGAAGTTGTAGATGTTTTCATAGAAGGATTTAGCTGAGGAGTTAGTTCTGACCCCGTGAGGGTTACAGGAAGAGAAATGCGTGTATTGAAAAGTCTCTGTAGGTTTAAAATGTGTGCGGATGTCAAGGATTTCTTGGTTGTGAAATCTCCTTTCCCAGTATTGACTCGAGATTGAAACAAGTTTCTTTTTTCTGGCCCCCTGAGGTCATCAACTTTCGCACAAAGTAAACAAATTTGCTCCTTCGATGATGGAGATAAACACACACGTTCAATAGATTTAGTCGGAGTCGAATCAGCACATTCGGCCATTGAAGTCAAGGACTCGCAAATGAAACCTGAAACCCCAAATGCGAGTCACGGCAATCCCCATTTTTGGCGCGAAATGCAAATGGAAACCCATCAAGCGAGACAAGTCGACCTCTCGCGACTTCGTCGCTCGCGGTCGGCCGCTTCGCGGCCAAAATAGGCTCGCTCCGCTCGCCAAGAGGTCTACTTGTAGCAAGTCTAAACATTTCTCAACAATCATAAGTAAAATTTATCGAGCCGTTTGCAATAACAGAATTGCAGGTTACCGTGTCATTGTATGTCATTATAAGATTATGCAGCAAACGAGGTAGTGAATCAATTCACAGTTCTGAATCTGAACGCCCGAAAGTGTCAAGTGTCACAGATCTTTTTTGTAAAAGCGAGGAGGATAGAGAATTAAAGAAAATGCAATTTTTGTACATAGATGTTACGTTGCGAGCATTTGAAAGTTGTAAACTTATATTTGATCAACTTTTAACCAGCTAACAAGTCCTCACATTTTTATGAGAAATCTCTTTGTAAAGTCTCAAAAATGTCACAACTTACCTATTTTATGGCGGCAAAGAATGCCTTCCGCAATAAAGCAGGGATTACATCTCACTCTCTAAAACGATACCTTTTGTTTGAAATCTATTGGGCTAAATATACCATTGAATTTTCATAATTTTACTTCATGGACCGTGCTTTATAGGTTATTATACATTCCAGGAGTTTTTCTAGTAATGTTTTCACGATAGTGGGAACTTCATTGAAAGAAGTATTAGCAGTTGCTTTGTTACGTAAACTCGTGTTAAGAAAGATCATACATTTCTATGCAGTGTTTTCCGGAGACGGTCTGAAGAGCAAAAAAGCTGTACTTTTTATTACTTAAACTCGTATTCAGAAAGATTGTTTATTTCTCTGCTGTGTTTTCCAGAGACGCTCTGAACAGCAAAGAAGCTGTACTTTTTATTACTTAAGCTCGTATTCAGAAAGATCGTTTATTTCTCTGCTGTATACTCCATCGGATCAACCCAACATTTTGCCCCAAGTGAGACGCAAATGTTAGCGTTGAGTTAGGGGAGTGGTAGGTGGGCAGTTTCCCGGAAACCTAAATTGGTCCACTCCATCCATAGAAACGACTGTCAAAGTCAGGTCGGACATGCACTGCGCTGGAAGAAGAGCTGACTTTAGTTGAGGAGCTTACAACGCATGATTCACTGTCATGGATTAAGGTAAGATTATTATGACAAAAAGTTTACCTACTTAAAGCTCCTTATCCGGCTTTGGAATTAAAGAACGAAGATCGCGAAAATAGGTACCTAAAAAAGAAGGGGAGAGGATGAAGTTTTTATTTTCCATCTATAAACATAGAGATCTGCCAGCCTTGGAAATGTTTTCATTTACTATCAAAGGTCAAAATTATGATTGTTATTAGATAGCTATTGTATTTCTTATAAATAGGTTGACAGAGTTTTTGCATTGAAGATTTGATTTAGTAAAAGCAAAAAATAGAAGAGAGATAAAAAACGGATCGCCCTCGAAAACACTACCATTGTTAATCAAGTTTATCATGATGCTTTGCGTCTATAGCCCCGTGCAAACGAACGCAACGTTGTTGGCAAAAAACTCCCGACATTGTTGGATTTTACATGTTACGTCCGTTTGCACACCCTGTTGCATGTTGTTACGTGTTGTTGGGATCTGTTGCATCCGTTTGCACACCAGTGCAACATAGACTACGAGTAGTCCCCATTTTTCCTCAGGGATAGTAGAGGGAGCGAAACGCGAGCGTGCGTGAAAATCACCCCACGCGAGAAAAGGCGACACGCGGCGGGGAGAGAGAAAAATGAGGCGCGTGTCGCCATTTCTCGCGAGGGGTGATTTTCACGCGCGCTCGCGTTTCGCTCGCTCTACTATCCCTGAGGAAAAATGGGGACTAACACGCAACATTGTTGGCGCAACAATGTTGGAAATCATTGCCTCCCTTTTTCAGGTAGCTTATGACCAAATAGCCCACGTTCGATGTATTAAAATTCTAACATGACTCCGAGACTCTCTGGTCATTTTTCTATAGTTTTGGTTTGGTTTGTGCTCAAGTCTCTTCTGGGAATTACCAGACGATGGATTCGTGAAAAATTTGCAATTTTGTCCCTAAAACCTCGGAGTCATGTTAGAATTTAAATATATCGTCTTAACGGCCTTGCTCGCCATCAGATCCTCCACAGCTTCGTTGGTTAAAAGGTGGCAATAGTGATGTGAACCGAGCGAGAGAATGGCATCTTTGTTTTCACTAAAAATAGATAGGGAGAAAAGGGCTTTGTGGAATGAATTGTAACGTGGACTTTTTATTTTTTTTTTTCAGGATTTTGTTTGTAAGACGCTGTCTAACGAGGCTGTTTGGCAGCAGAAGGCTGAAGACGCTATGAAGAGAGCCACAGAGGATTCCGATTCTGGTGAGTAAAAACTTCGGGGTACCGAACGTCGCCTTCGGCAAATCTTCGTGCAACATTATGGTGAGGTTTTGGAGTCTTTTCTTATAATTTCGAAATAGCAGAAAAGGCCGAAAACCTGTATCACAACTACCGAGCAACTCATCTGTTTTTGCTTTAATTTTGGCAGAGACGTCTATCAGCGTGGAAGATATGTGTCGCCAGTTAAGAGATCAGAAGGAAGAGTGTCGGAAACTCAAGGGAAAGTAAGAATTCCAAGCTCACTGGACTCATTTTTACTCTTAAAGAGCCTATATCACAAGGATGTTTCTGTTTTAGGTCAATTCTGTGCTGAAGCTATTTCTTAGAACCTTTATCCATACACAAAAGAAGAGGATATCAAACAGATTTCACGGGCCTTTGTCCGAAAAAGGGACGTTTACGTTTAAAAATAGTTATTAGAGAGTTTTAGATCCGAGTTTACCGCGAACCTCTAACCGCGGTTTGCGGTTACCCGTTTGCGGTTCGACGTTCAAACATAATTCGATTTAGATTGGCGGTGGATTAAACAAGTGGATTCTGGTTTATTTTTCCATTTAGAAATAGAGAAAATATCAATCAGTGAAAATAAAAGAAATTTACGGTAACACTGGGTTATCCAGCAGCAAAGAGCAGTAAATTCTTACATTAGTTCTTCTCGCCAATTTTACGGCCGCCATTTTGAATAACAGCCATGAATGACACTTGTTTTCAAGATCCAACAGGATTTATCAAATTTAGCATTTCGCCCGAATTTGTGCCTCTGTTAATGTATAAAGACTTGCTCCACAAGATTTTTGTATCATTACGTGAGATGAAACAAGAATTATACGCTAAAAGCTTTCAGGTAAATGACATACGTGAAAACTCAGCTCCCCACGTTGAAAACGCACGTTGTAAACCTCAAACGTGACGCGAAAGACTTGTCACGTGACCTCCAGCGGTTAGAGGTTCGCGGTAAACTCGGATCTAAAACTCTCTAATGATTGAAATTCGCGCAATTCAGCAGGCTAACTATTCCACAAACATTGGCGCAGCAGCATAGAAGGATCTGGCACCAAGCGTAGAAAGCATTTTCTTTTTAGGCGGCTCAAGTAAAAGACTACTATTTGATTTAAGATTGTAAGAGGACTTCGATCTAACACTAATTAAATCCCTGATATATCGTGTTGCAAGTCCGTGAATTGCCTTGAAAACTAAAATTAATATCTTAAAATGAATACGAGCGTGAACTGGCAGCCGGTGAAGATCTTGAAGTGCTGGTATAATATGAGAATACTCGCTGATGGTCATAGCAAGTTCTGAATACGTTTCAATTTGACAATCTGTGACTTAGGTTAACCATACAAAAAAACTGTTACAGTTCTTCATTAAGCTGGGAAAACTATGTAAATTCAATAATTTTGGTTGTTTTTGTGTCGATGGAAGACTAGTTTTGTAAGTAAAACAAATTTCATTAATCTTCTTCTCTTCATTGTGTGTAGGATTGCAGAAATGGAGGAGACGCATCAGGAAGTCGTGTTAAAGTTACGAGAGGACATGAAGAGAGAGGAAGAAAAACACATTTCCCGCACAGTGGCTCAAGTGAGATCTGAGGAAGAAGAAAAACAGCGCGAGATGATGCATGAATTTAAACAAAAAGAGCGAGAGCAGATACAAGCAGCAGTGGATGCGGAGAGAAAGATCATGGAGTCACAACATGGTAGCGTTACCCAATTACAACAGGTACTGAACAAATGCTTAAAGGCCTTTTTCAAAAATGTGATAATACTGTTCGTTGTCCCTCCGAAGTTTTGCATAAGCATTGTTTTATAATCACCCCAACAGAAATTGAAGGAATGCTTAAGCAAAAGTTTAGAGGGACAACAACCAGGACTATGATATTTTTGAAAAAGGCCTATTTGCGGAGATGTCAGTCACTGGAAATAAGCCATCAAAGTAAAAACAACAGTGGGAGCTGCCAACAAATTAAGTAAACAGTAAAATGACCGCTATTTAGGGACGAGGGACGGTTTCACCACTGTAAACCGCGGGACCCTCCCCCTCCGTATGTTTATAGCCAAGAGGGCTGCCTGTAACGTAGACCACAAGCGATCGGCCCGTGGCAAGCGTTTTCGCGCGAATTCGTTGAGAAAGTTGGGAGGTTTGCTACGTAGGCTACTAAGGGCCGCGCACCGTGTGCGAATAAAAAAGACTTCTCGCAGGCCAGGGTTGGATCGGCGGTAAACTGAGTTACTAAGTTTTCTGTGCAGGTACTTAATGAACGACAGAAGGAGTTAGAGAATCACAGAGTTGCCTTGGCAACAGCAAAGTCCCAGTACGAACAAGCTAAAGATGGATTACACAGAGCTAAGGAGACTGAGGTACGTTCTTCAAAGTTAGTCTTTCTGCACCTCTCGTATTTATATCCTCAAGCTGAAATACCGTTTTCCCTTACTGTCTAATAACCGCCGCCTAGTTAACTCAATTAGGAGAGCGCCGGTCTGCTGAGCGGGAGTCGCGGGTTCAAACCCCGGCTGGACCAAAACTCAGGGTCTTCAAAATAACTGAGGAGAAAGTGCTACCTTTGCAATGACATCTGCAAACGGTTAGACTTTCTAGTCTTCTCGGATAAGGACGAAAAACCGTTACCTGTTTTTTGTCTAAAAATGAACTTAAATTTTCCTATTACGGTTGCCTATAACGATTTGCGATTTCTAATTCAGCAAAGAGTGGATTCCACAATTGAAAACCAGAGATCGGTCTGAAAGATAGGTTTTTATTGTATGTGTTTATTAGACGCGACAAGACGCTGTTAAATAACGAAATGACCGAACTTTCTCCTTAGGCGTACTTACGAAGTCAGCTTCAGGAACAATCCGCAGCCTACAAAGAACAGCTGACTCGTGTTGAACGTGAGAGAGAAGAACTGCGGAATGATAAAGAAGACGAGGTCGCTTCTTTCAAGGTAGCTTTAGTACATCATCGTTAAAATGTGACTGGCTAATACTCAGTAAACGGTCGATCATTTAGGGTTTTTATCATCTTCATCAGTCCCCTTCGTTCAGCCCTCTTCGTGGCCGAGTGGTCAGCTCGTCGGACTCGCAATCCCGTGGTCCCGGGTTCGATTCACGCTCTGGCCACTTGTAGGATTTGTTCTCGGTCTTCCTAGTTCAAATCCTCGGCCACGCTTGTAAATAGCCAACTGGTTGCCATCTGCCTGTTGGGATTTTTAATAATCGTATGTTGTATTTGAATTCTTTGTTTCTAAGTATTGGGTGGAGCGCCTGTAAAGTAGCTGGATAAGCAAAGTGCAGTTTCCACTATAAACAATCCTTTAAACCTTTAAACCCCACTAATGTATAAAACCGTACATGGGATGATTCCCGATTATCTAACATCTAAATTTGTATGTCGTGACCAAATAACTTCTTATCGGTTGAGGAATACTGAAAATAAATTAGTCCTTCCACTGCCCCGTACCAATTATTTAAAGAAAAGTTTCTCCTATAGCGGAGCTAAGCTGTGGAACAGCCTATCCCATGATTTAAGATCTGCAGATTCTTTACATGATTTTAAACGCAAACTTTGTCGCAACAGTTTTGAATGAGATCATACATTAATACAGTTTTACACGGCATCCTTGAAAAGCAGCTTTTATTTGTAAATAGCTAGGTAGTTAAAATTTTATGAATATATTTTTAATCAGAGTTGGTTTAGTTAGGTATAATAGACCTTAGATTTTTTGTACATGCTGAAGGAATTTTAACCGTGTGTAAATAAAGTTATCTATCTATCTATCTATCTAATTCTTACAATTTGACTCTATTTTGACTCAAACCTATGGCGTACATTTGCGGACAAAAATAATTGAAAATAAAATACAATTTGAAGTTCAAAAATTAGACTATCCATGTCGAAATCTCGTCATATGAATTTGAAATCGCAATGGAAGCAGTCGAAATAGCATCATTCGAACTTGAAGTTACTTTGAACAAGTTGAAACTATAAAGGGAAAACTCGACATCGCGGATGTTGAAGTTCAAATCACCATTCCAACTAAGATGCAAATTACATGATTTGAACTTCAATTCACCTTCTCCACTCTAATAAGCTTCTTAATCGTCAACAATGCAACCATTATCTTCCACAAAATTCCAAATGAAATCTTTAATTTGAACTTAACGTCACGTCACATATTCGAATTACCAAAATTTCAATTCGAAGGGAAGCGGAAGTAAAAATACACAGGAACCGGAAATGATAAGAGTTTCGCTACACTGTACGTATTGGATCTTTGCATAACTGCATTTTGGTGCGAAAAGATTTCCCTTCACTCAAACTCTCTGGTCAATATGGCGGACAATGTGAATGATAAGGGTGACTCTAGGACAATCCAAGAGATTGTGAGGGCTGTCGTGGCAAACTTAAGAGTGGTTTTCTGTAAAATTCGAACTTCGGCCTGACACGTTACCTGGTCGATTTGGCGAATTTTTGGCATGTAGTCTTAGAATGGTTTCCTAAATACTGAATGCATATTCTAAGGTTTGAATTCTCTTTGGTTTCAAAGATACAGGAATGACAGTTTTAACGAAGCCTCGAGGGGCCGCCATGTTGGTGAACTGAAGGAGGTTTACTATAATTAATTCTAGCTTCATCATTAAAATAACGTAATCGTGACTCATGCAGTTGCAAAGAATTACCCTCCCTCCTTTCATTTACCTTTTTTCTATCCGAAAATAGTTTAGCCTGAGCTACGAACGGCTATAACTTCGCACAGCACTTTTTCGGTACTTAAAAGGTACACAAATTTTGTAGAAATTGGAAGGCCAATATCACCCATGCCACATCGATTTAGAGTAAGCCGTTTTCACTAAACATAGTTTGTTTGTAGATAAGTTAGATTGTTGAATAAAATAATTGGGCAAATGTAACGGAGCAGACCTACAGTTGCATGATTTGAACAGATAAAGCTAGAATTAACCAAAGAGCAGAAGATTTGGAGTGAAAATTATGCGAAAGACGTCCCTTATTTTCTTTTGATGCCACGTGAAATGGGAGATGTCTGCACGCAAACTATGTCTCCACTTTTCGGGAAAAAACTCTCGGGTGATAAGCTAGTCTGCTACACAGCCGTTTTTAGTGTCGTCACGAAACGCTCCTGTGTAGCAGACTAGAAGTTGCGTACAAACCTTGACAGTAGCCTGATCAAGGTCACCGCCCTCTTTCCCAGATCGCGTGCCGTCTTATTTTCGCTTGGCTTGTGTTTATTTCGCGAGGTCCCCACATACTGAGAACCTGGCACAGTCTACCTTGATAGTGGTTGAACGATGAATGTCGCGAAAAAAATTTAAAAAAGAAGTGATACGCAGCTGGAACTAACCAGGCAATAATCTCCACCTTAAGTCCCTTTTACACAGGCAATTTAAAATCGGGCTTAAACTTGAAACTTTTATCGTGCCTTTGGCCTGCGTTTCAAGCGTTTTCTACAGCTATGTTCGATTTCAAAAAAAGGTCGAGGAATTCCTATCTCTACTCTCCCCCATTTTCCGCTGTCATGAAATTAATGATGGCGTCCGCAGCAATACGATCATAAACAAGCTGCTTTTACCCACTCTAAAAATTCGTCTGCATGGCAGTATAATTATACTAATAGGTCATTTCCGTGTTCCACAGATGAAACCTCACTTGAGGCCAAATGAGGCCAAATGCAAAACCTTTTTCATGAAAATGAGTTTCATTTGCATTGAAGTCATTTTCATATTAAAAGCTTCGCACTAACGCTCGTTTGCAAAGACAGGTAACTTGGAAATGGTCTACCGTGTGGCGCGAAATTTTTGCGGGTTCTAATTTTTGCGATTTTTACGAATTTTTTTTTTAGCCATCCGCAGAGATACGTTCCCGCAAATAAAAATTACCGGAAAAATTTACCCTAGAGTAAATGTTCTCTAACTTAAATTCGCTAAGAAATCGTGTCTGTTCAATTACAACTTATCTCTTTCGTTTAGAAACAAAGCGGTTTAAAGCAATTTTACTGTCACGCCAGTAAAATGTAGTTAATGGAACGTGACTCTAGTTATCAGTAACCCATTCATGGCGGCTCTTTTTCAACAAAGCAGTTGTGTAGTCAAGCTGCCAAGGTCAGCGAACCCTAAGATGCATTGTATTCTAGCGTAGAACTTTACGGCCTTGTTGTCTTAAGCAGACTAGTACGAGCCACAGCATTGGCCAATATTTTCAAAGCACTATTCATGGCTAAGAGTTTGCACATGCAACGCTGAGCTGTCTTGTAGTACAGCCTTTGCTACTGGCTATGCCAGCAGACATGCGTCTAGCTGTAAAAGCCTAGAACAACTGTTCAGAGTTCACTTGGGTTCCAGTGTTCAGCAAGGTTTAAGCGCTCAGTATACTATTCTTGTAAAATTTTTCCCTCCCTCCCTTTGGAGACGAGGTTTGGGCTTTGTTTTGTGCTATGCCTTCAAATAAACTAGGGACACTCCTCGCAGTGCGGTTAAGTCTGCGCAGCGACTTCCCCCAAGCTTGTTGGGCCGCATTGCCGTTTAATATCGCCTGCAAACCGATACTCTTGTCCGATTCAGCACATGCTGTATTGCATTCAGCTCGTAGTGCTGGGGGAGATAAGTGAGGTTCTTTGCCCATGCCATCGCCGGAAGTCGCACAGGCTAACCTAGCGCAAGGCAGTGCTCCCCCATTATCGCCAACTTGTCATTATTTGTTTTATAATTAAGTCACTTCGCGTTTAGCATGCATCATAAAGGAGCAGAGACATTAACAATGAAATACTGACGCACACCGTAGTATTGTTTGAAAATATGCATTTCTATTGCACGTACTCAATAACAACGAAAATATTGTCAATGCTGGGTATTGGGTACTTTCTGAAAATCGCAAAAATTAATTCCCACCAAGAAAAACCAATCTGTCCTAACCGCAAGAATTAGTTTCCGGAAAAATTTCGTGCTACACGGTATCTATTGCTGGCCCGTAACCTAAGCTTCGCCAGGGACACGTTACGTGTAATACGTATTTCTAGTTGATAAGATGGCTTTTTTTGTTATGTTAGTTCCAAATCGTGAACAAGCTTTACAGCAGATTGTGGCTCTCAAAAAGGAAGTCAGTGAACTAAGGGCGAAGCTGGCCTCCCAAGAAGAGGACTGCCATAAAAGCGAAGGCGAAATGCATGCTGAGGTAACGGACGTAACAGTGTGATGCTTTACTAATTAATGGAGTTCTGCGCTTGCGTTTTCTCTTGACTTCATTTTAAAAAGCGACGTCCTTTTGGCGCGTCACGTATTCTGTCAGGAAGGATTGCGTGACAAAGGGTCCCGTGGTCATAGCGGATTACGCGTAGTCCCTGGTTATTTTCTTAGGAATAGTAAAGCAAGCGAATTACTCAAGCGCGCGAAAATGACGACCCGAGTGTCACCTTCTTCGCGGGTGGCGATTTTCACGCGCGCTGGTGTTATTCGCTTGCTGTACTATTCCTGAGTACATTTGAATATCAGCGTGGCAGGCGAAGGGGTAGGAAAAGGGAGGTTTTCCCCCTCCTCCTCTCCCTCTCCTTTTTGTGCCTGTCACGCAGGCTGTCACTGAGAAGAATGATGGACTACTCGTAGTCCACCCTAGTCATGTCGTTTGTAGAGTGAGTCCTTGCTATCATTTGCCCCCCCTTTTTTTCCCAAGACTTCGTTGTATGACAAAAATAATCATTTTTGCTCACTTGAAAGAGTTCAAGTATGATCCAGCAAACTGAAGAGGCTGAAAATAGGATAAAAACTGTCATGGGCCATTTTAAGAGTGTGTCATAGATCCTTCTTCCCCCTTTCATTTCAATAATTTAATATTCTGCTAATGAACGTTTACATGTTGAAATGCTATAGCATGCTCTCTATGCCATGATAGTCGTTTGTGAAATGCCTTATATCTGTTTCCTTGTAACGGCTCAGAGTTCGTCGTGAGCAGGCTTCTGCCAGTCTCGCTGAAACCGATTTGGAAAAAGGCGCTCACCAGCAAACAAAAGAAGCATTAGATCTCAGTGAAAAGACGGTGAGTTGATTTTAATATAAACACGAAAAAATTAGTGAGGAGTATAAGAGCTTGAGCAAAAGCGTTTTTGAGCGACCGAAATTAATGGCTTGACGCTAATAAATGTACGCTCCGGTCATCATTCGCCGTTAAAAAACGACTTGGCATGAGCGCCTTATTGGCAGCTTTTTGCAGAAGTAAATACAAAGACGGGGTAATCTGTCAAGAGTGCCTTACTGCAAATAGTTCACATGCTTTGTTATAATATAATATGATATGGTGCAATATAAAGGTGAAATATGGTCTTTCATGAAAATAGATTCAACTTTTAATGTTATTTGATAGAAGATAATGTCGGTTCACCTTTTTTTTGTAGAGAAAAAGAAACTAAAAGACACTTAATTCGTTCCATGAAAAGGAAGAACGAAAAAGGAAATGAATCATCAAGATTGCTACTACTGTCCTTCACGCACGTTTTTGTGCGCACGCTAGTAGTCCCCTATACCGTTCCCTTTCGAACGCCTGGCACGGTACCAAACGCTGTTCGAAAAATTAGCCCGCGCTCCTCTGGGAGGACTGAGGGAGCAGCAGAAATCGAGTCCATTACTTCGGAGGCTGCTGTAAGACTATTCTTGCGTCGCTTTATTTGAGCGCGTCACTCCTCTGTCCTTCAAACACGCAAAGAAACAAGTTATTTCAGTTGCGTAAGTCGTTATTTTCCAGGCTTTTCTTAACTGTAACTGTTTTTTCTTTTCGCAGTATCTGGAGTTCGTTCGAACACTCGGTGCACTGCTTGAAATAGACTCGTTACCAGGTTGTCGCTCAATGGCGCACCTCCCACTGGAGGAAAGAGAGAGACTGGAACTAGACAGGACCAAGGTAATTTGAGTTTCAATTCCCGCTTAAAAATGCGACCTGTGTATGCTGTTACATGTACATGTGTCTTTGTTTCACAAGACTAGAATAAAAGTACTGAAGATACCACAATACGTAATCGTTAAAAAAGTACCAATGACACTTAAATAGTCGAAGCTTTCTTAACGGACGCTTGCGCAAGAGCTGAGGACGGCTCTACTTGTGGTTGGGTCGACCAAAAAACTCGCATTTTACTCTCCAATTGAAAATCAGTTAATAGCGCCTCGAGTAAGATCTGCAATATTTGTGTTTTTAATAGACTGCTCCAAGCGTTTGATAGAAACCAATTGGTGTAACATGCCCTGAACTTGTGCGATATATTTTGGAAGATCATTTCAGTTCCACTAGGCCAACAGAGAAGAGATATTTAAGTTGAATTTCTTAGTTGAAAGTTTTTTTCCTTAACCCATTTGCAGAAGAATCAACACATAAGTCAACATATTGTAATTAGGTGGTTCATTGTTTTTCTTCGTCTGTTTCATGAGTGAGGGGATAGTTAATTGTTTTGCTTTAGTTTTGTTTCATGTCTGAGCTCCCTTCTTTTGTACCCATTCTTTTGAGTGATTTCTATGAAGTTTTAATTTTCCCTTTAATTTGTTTCCCTTTGAATATCAGGCTGTGGAGCTGATGGTCACTAAAGTTCAACAGATGAACGATCGAATGGAAAGAAAAGTCCAGCTTGGGGGCATCCAGCTTGGTTTCAATTGTACTGGGTCTGGCCTGGAGTTTTCCGTTGAGTAACA